CAGAGATTGACTTGAGTTTATGGTTTACGTTAAATCATAAAATATAGTTCCATCAATTGGTATCAGAGCCTCAAGTTTAGTTTCTGTTTAATAATCAGTTTTATATCTAGATTTAGTATTCTGGAATCTGTGGATTAATTTTTGATTAGATCTAAGATATTTGAATGTTCAGATCTATTTCTGGAATCAATGGATCATGTTTGTTTATGCTAATTCGGATCTAAAAATTGGTTCTTGACGGCTGATTTTTGGATGTTTATGAAAACCCTAAGTCAAAAGGTTGAAGACAAATTCGTTTGGACCAATTTTCACACAAAACAATAAGTCAGGCCCAGTCCAACTTTTAATCAGGAATTAAAACTCTGAAACTGGGAATTGAGCCCAGGTTGCGTGGTAAAAGCTGGCGCCCCTTAAGTGACTTCAACCATTATGCCATTTCAGAATTCTTGCATAAGGAGCCCTCMGACTTATTATTATATGTCTGCGCAAGAATAAATTCAGTTTAAAATCAATRAAKAAATTTGATTGTATACGTATATAAATTCATGCAAATATCAAATCGGCCCAAAGGAAGGTTTATATTTGGCCGAGTTTACACATGTATATGTGTGTGTTTATCCATGCGAATATCAAATTGGCCCAAAGGAAGATTTATATTTGGCCGGATTACATACATACATGTGATGATAAACATGTGACGATTATTGGGAAAAACCATGTGAATAATAAATCRGCCCRAARGAAGGTTTATTGTTCATTATGCATTATTGTCAGTGTTTGATCATTACAACAAGAGTACCGCTAGCTGYTAATATTACTGTCCAAAGACTTGATATTAATGTTGCACTTGGTATCTTGAGATGGGTTAYACAATTGGCTRTTGTTTATTATTGATTTTTYKATTTTAGTAGTGAGTTACTAATAAAAATTGTTCTATTTTGCAGCAAATTTTGCTACARTATCAGCAAACTTAGGTTCAATTCCAACACTTTCTGGTTCCAACTACAAKGAATGGAAAAGTAAAGTTAAAATTGTCCTTGGGTGTATGGATCTTGACCTTGCGTTAAGAATRGAACAACCTACTTCTCCTACAGATACCAGCACTGATGAGTATAAGACGGTTTATGAGAAGTGGGAACGTTCTAATCGCATTGGTTTAATGATCATTATGGACACCATTCCRGAAACCTTTAGAGGTAATGAGGGGACAGATGATCTCAAACAGTTCCTTGCTGAGATGGACTTGCGGTTTGCAAGTAGTGATAAAGCAGAAATAAGCACGCTTCTGTATCGCTTTAGTACCATGAGGTATCACGGCAAAGGGAACATAAGGGAGTACATTTTGGAAATGTCAAACATYGTTTCAAAACTTAAGACACTCAAGACTGAGCTTTCAGAAGATGTGCTCATATTTTTTGTCTTGAACTCTCTTCCTTCTCAATTCAATCAGTTGAAATCGAATTACAACACACAGAAGGAGAAATGGTCTCTTAATGAGCTTATTTCATATGGTGTGAATGAGGAGGAAATGATGAAACAAGAAAGGTCTGAAAGTTCTCATATGGTAAACACCTCTAAGGGTCAGGGTAAAAGAAGGAAAATGGAGACCATTAAGAATGAGGCTGCWAAAGGTCCATCTCAAATGAAGCATGCTAAGGTTGAAGATACATGCTTCTTTTGTAAGAAAGCTGGACATATGAAGAAGGACTGCCAAAAGTACCATGCTTGGCGTGKGAAGAAAGGTATGGTTCTTGCTATGGTCTGTTCTGAGGTGAACTTAGTTGAAGTACCCAGAAATACTTGGTGGTTAGATTCAGCTGCAACAACTAACATCAGTGTTTCATTGCAGGGTTGCCTGAGCTACCGAAAACCAACTGAAGCTGAAAGAAGCATTCATGTGGCTAATGGTTTTACAGTGCATGTGGAGGCAATTGCACATTTTAGACTTTTTTTTTAGTACTGGTCATTTTCTGGATTTAAAAGACACCTTTGTTGTACCGTCAATTAGACAGAATTTGGTTTCTGTTCCTTATTTAGACGAATCTGGTTATTCTTGTCTTACTGGAAATGGAAAATTTTCTTTGTCTTTAAAAATACAGTCTTTATCTGCTTGACACTCTATCTTCTCATAATGAAAGTTTAAGTGTTGAATCAAGGGGTACAAAACGAAAATTCGAAAATGCAAATTCAGGAAATCTATGGCACAAACGCTTAKGTCACATCTCTAAAAATAGAGTTGAGAGACTTGTGTCAGATGGYATATTGGATTCTGTTGACTTCACAAATT